ATATTAATATAAGTACATACCTGCCTATTTAAACCTGGATATTAATACATATTCAGACTTAAATTACTATATTATTCACGGATAACCTGGATAATATCCAACCTGAGTACCATCACTAGTCAAAACTATTACTATAATATAAATAAATATATATATACAGTATTACTTTATCTTAAAATTACTAGTATTATTATCATTTTTATTTTCATTTTCGCAATCATTTATATTTTGAGTTTCTAAAAATCTGGCTTGAACTTCTTCGAGCCTTTCACACTGCTTAGGTCGCATAAAAAATTTAATTATATGCTTAACTCTTTTAATTAATACTTTGGCTGAAATTAGTCTCTTTGTAACTACAAGTTGTAGAGTATGTGATGTGCAATTTAGCCATTTCATATTTTTCATATCCAATACTGCTCTTTTTACATTAGTATCATTATTAGTAGTGATAATAAAGATTTTATTTTGGATTTCCTATTTATCTATGATAGTATCTAATACTTCACTTATATGATCAGCTGTATAGGGTGTTTAACATATTTTATAATTAGAACAAATTCGCACAGCTTATAGTCATTATTAATAAACAAACAAGTAACATCAAGATAGCTATGACGGCTACGGGCTGTTCAGAAATCTATACACAATGATACTGAAATAGATTCATTAATTAATTTTTCTTTGAGAAGGGGTAAACTATAATCATATGCTATAAAAATTAATTTTTGATAGTCTCCTCGCATGGCATTAAAAAAGCAGGATCTAGATCTCTAATAAATTTCTATAACGTTTCGCTAGTTACAATATGAATGGGCTGTGAATCTTTTATAATCCATGTTGTAAGTGATTGTTCTAATTGAATTTGCCATTCTTCAGTATGTTGCTTATTTAATATGACTTGCTTATTATTCTAAATTAAAATTTTTTGGTTAATTAAAAATATTAAGTATTAACTAATATAGTAATTTATTTAATTACAAACTTTGGTATTTCTATTTTTGTTAATTTCATATATGTTCCGAAGATGATTAATCACGTTTTCTGTTAATCTGCTTGTATAGACATATGATATACCACATATAGTATTATCTTTTTTCTTTATTTGACAAATGATTACTGTAATTTCTTCACTATCATCATCTCGAACTTTAGTTTCTTCGAAATACTGCCAAATCAAACTAGTCTTTGTGCGCTTTTCACTTTGGCTTTTTGTTTTTTATTTGAAGATTTAATAGGTTTAATTGAATTAGATAAATTTTTAGAATGCTTTGCTATCATTTTTTTAAAAAATTGATAATAAGACTTAAAAATTTCAAACCTAATAAACGATATATATATATATATTTATTTTAATAATTATAATTTAAAATTTATTATGATCATTTATAATTTATATTTAGACTAAAAGAATCGATAGCTAATGGTACTTTATTGCTTTTATGACCTTAAAGGATATTACATATGATTAAATACTACTTATTTCTCAGGATAACAGAAATAATGAATATCTCTATGATTATGCTTTATATTCTGCATGTGCGCTACTTGCAAAATATTTACATTATTACGTTTTTTAAAATTAACAGAAATAATATAAGTCTGGATATGTATTAATATCTAGGTTTAAATAGGCAGATATGTACTTATATTAATATCCAGATCTAAATATGCAGAAATTAAATGTTAAAATTATCAGGAACATACAGTAATTTAAGTCTGGATATTGAGTTTAAATAAGCAGATACATATATATATTAATAATCAGGTTTAATATTAAAATTATCAGAAATAATACAGTAATTTAAGTCTGGATACGTATTAATATCCAGATTTAAATAGGCAGATATATACTTATATTAATATCCAGGTCTAAATATGCAGAAATTAAATGTTAAAATTATCAAGAACATACAGTAATTTAAGTCTGAATATTGAGTTTAAATAAGCAGGTATGTACATATATTAATAATCAGGTTTAATATTAAAATTATCAGGAATAATACAGTAATTTAAGTCTAGATACGTATTAATATCTAGGTTTAAATAGGCAGGTATGTACTTATATTAATATCCAGGTCTAAATATACAGAAATTAAACGTTAAAATTATCAAGAACATATAGTAATTTAAGTCTGAATATTGAGTTTAAATAAGCAGATACGTATATATATTAATAATCAGGTTTAATGTTAAAATTATCAGGAATAATATAGTAATTTAAGTCTGAATATGTATTAATATCCAGGTTTAAATAGGCAGGTATGTACTTATATTAATATCTAGGTCTAAATATGCAGAAATTAAATATTAAAACAACAGGGATAATAATTAAGTCTTGACATTAATATTCGAGGTACATATAAAACTAGCAGAGATAATTAAATCTGAATATTAATATTCAAGTTTAAATAGTAAGACAAGCATTACAACCTATAATATTTATTACGGCTTACGACAATATATCAGTCTAATTACAAATAGATACGTATCATCACATGGCATAAGGAGTAATATTGAACAATAATATTAATTATCAAATATTGCGCTATATGATGAGGTGCTTGGTGAAGTGATTATTAATGAAATGATACAAATATCAAGTTCAAACTGCAATAACTCTTGAACCAGCAAACCCACAAAAATATAATTATATTTGTTAGATTCATTATAATGTGCTCTTTAACGTGACAACACACTTTATTTTTATTGTCTAGAGCATAGCAATGGAAAATAAAAAATAATGACAAAACTCTTGTTTTTAATGAATGATTAATAAAAATATCAAAAATGTAGATAGCTATTGCATATTGTATCACAATATATACAGAAAATTTCAAAGTTGCTGTATTTCTCTGAAAATAAGCATTCTCTGAAAATCGGCACCCCTGGCCCACACTATGCCAACTTTGGCCTGCTTTACAACAATTATGGCCAGCATTACATGCAAAAAAAAGTGGAGAAATACGGATATTTTATTAATAATACATCAAAATGAAAATTTTGGCAGTATTTTATCCTACTCCCCGCTACATTCCAGACAATAAAAAAAAAAAAAAAAGATGTCATGTTAAAGAGCACATTATTACAACTCTGACAAATATAATTATATTTGTGTGAGTTTGCTAGTTCAAAAGTTATTGCAGTTTGAACTTTCTATATTTTTACTATTAAATTAATATTGATCTACAGTACACTACGTATAAAAAATCTTGATTAGTGATCTTTATTATATGACCTGCACTATATTTGTATCATTCCATCAACAATCACACCCCATCACACAATATGATGATTAATATTTAACGATTGTTTGATGATTAATATTATTGTTCAATATTATTCCTCATGCCGTGTGATGATACATATCTATTTGTAATTAGACTAATGTCATACTCCCCAATTATTTATGCTACAACAGGCTGTAATGATACTACAACTATAACATAATTGAGGTAGCACCACCACAAATATGTCCACACCTATCAATATCAAATATAATAAAAATTTTATCAAATCAACTGTTGAAGTTTTTGTTAATTAATTGCTTTTAAGAATTTAGAATTTGTAACATCAATAAATAAGACATCAGATGAAAGATTACAAGGAGTTTATAGTACTTTACCGTATATAATACTAGAAGTTTTTTGCAAGAAAAACTATTCTCCAAAAAAAAAAAAACAAAGCAAACGACTATGATCTCAAATTCTATCGTTATGGAATGCTGGCATATATCGAACACCAGTGCCTTACTAAGCAAGGATATAAATGTAATAAAAGTCTGATATTTATAACTTCAGAGTAAATCTTTAAAATTCAAGCGGAAGACCATCTTTCTCATCTTTTGAATTGGCATTTTTGCTTGCTGCTCATATTCCCAGAAAAAATAGAGAAAAATCTATACACCATCTTCTCACGATCTTTTTTTTTCTCCTAATCAAATCCAATAAAGTTAATCTGAATGAGGATAATAAAAATGGTAATAATCTTGAGGTAATAATTATATTTATTTATTTATATAATTTAATAATCTTGGGTTCTATTTATTACACTAACAATCACTTTACCAATAGTTTAATTCACTAGCAATCAATTCACCAAATTTATTTTGCTAAATTAATTTATTAATTAATAAGTTCATTTCATTGATAGCTCATTTTATAGGCAAAATAGTTTTGTTTATTGTTGTTAGAGTCAGATTAGGATTAGAGTTAAAGTTAGTGTGATTTATAAAAAAAAATTGTTAGTAAAATAAGCTGTTGGTGAAATAAACCATTAGTAAAATGAATTTGTGAATAAATTTATTGTTATTAAAATAAACTTGTCAGTGAATTAATTGTCAATAAAATAAGATATTGGTAAAGCGAGTATTAGTAAAATGATACAAATCATAATTTTAATATATTCTAATTTATTAGTGTATCAAAAAAGCTTTCGAATATTTGCATACAATTGTTGATTGCCCAACAAGATAGAATTCCTTGTATCTCGCATGGAATAGACTCCTTAAATTAAAAAACTATATTAATTTTCTTGTAACTTTACTTTCAACCAAATCTGATTCTGATATTAAGAAAGATCTTAAATATTAAAAAAAAATTTTACTTTATGACAATAAGTGGGATATAATAAATGATCTAGTAGAGATTCTCCAACTATTCACCAAGGCCACTATTTATTTAAATGATAGAGGTTATGTAAAATCAGTATTATAAAAAAATAGAAATGTTCCAGTTCAGTAGGTGGTATTTAAAGTTTTGTGATATAGTAGAAAAAGAGTACTTTTTTTTGCTATCGCTTGTGTGAAGACTGCTCTATCACCTTCCACTCCTACCTGATATTGGATAATCAACAGTTAGGTGCTGAGCAACATTATCGCTCCTCAATAAATAAGATTGAGTTGTAGTTATAGGTACTACGGCTTTAGTAGCAATACAAGAACCTATCTGTACTTCAACTCTGCGGCTATAATAGCAGTACAAGAACTATTTTAATTATTTGGGCTTTGCAGCTGCAATAGTAGTGCAAGTACCTATTGTTAGTTTTGGCTTTATAGCTACAATAGCAGTACATTGACCGTTTTGGTTGTTTGGGCATTGCAGCTACAATAGCAATGCAAGAACCTATTTGTGGTTCAGTTTTGCAGCTATAATAGCAGTGCAAGAACCATTGTTAGCTAGCTCTACGGCTGCAGTAACAATGCAAGAATCATTACAAGATATTTTTTTTTTATACTGAATTAGAACTAGTACGTTCAACTCTCTTAATAGCTATGTGAGTCCTTCCGACTATCTCCTTTATGTGTAAGATCTCTTTTTCTATCTGTGTGATGTGTTGGATCGTTTGGTGCCTGGTTTACTGTTTGTGATTTGAGAATAGATTGAATGACTTCAGGATCATAGACCCTTACAAATTTATATATTAGCCTTAAAACAAAGCTTGCAATTAGATAGTAGGCTCTATTTTTATATGTTTTCAGTTTTGTTTTTAATAGTTATCTAACTTATTCACTAATGGTTTCTATTTTAATTGCTTAAGAATAATTGTTACTATTAATTTTAATAATGGCATAGTAGAAATTAATAATAACAATAGCCAAGACTTATTTAATACTTTATTTGATGATTTATTTGACAATGCTATAAGTGACAAAGAAGACAAAAAAGAGAATGAATAGACTTATACACCAATCAATATAATATTGATAAAATTAGAAGTATTTAATATAATGCAATAAACTATTATTGACCTAATTTAGTATTATCAAGTTTACTTTTACCTAGTACCAGGACTAGAGTACCAAGAATGGAGTGTATTGCTTAGTGAAGAATAAGTGAAATAATGTATGGGTGCAAAATTCTAAAGTTAATTAAATTATAAGAGGTTACTTAGCTTTAAACATATCCCATATTTGGAATTTTCTATTTGAAAATTCGATTGTTAGGATTGTCAGGATTTTGACTATTAGGATTTTGACCAGCACCCTTGAAATTATAAAGAAGAAAAATAGAATAGCTTAATGACTAATGTATAGATAGTTTGCCCAGTAACTTGTTTTATAATACTCATGCGATGTTTAGTATTGTGATACATATGATAATTAAAGAAATTATTTATTTAATAATTAAAGTTTGATGAGGAAACATAAATGAAAAGAAATGAATATCTTGGAAATTTGCTTATCGATGTATAGATAGACTTGCTCAGTAACTTGCTCTCTGATACTCGTACATATAGATATGAAAAAAAATCTGCAGTCGTAGTATATTATACATTCTTTT